AAGTATGTGTATTTATACCTGATAAAAGCAACTTTCTTCTTGATATAAACACATTTCTTTCTTGATTCAAATCACCTTTTTTCCCTCCCTTGTTAATTCTAAAAATAATTATTGGACTTGGCATATTGACAAAATCCGTTTAATACAGGCGTTCAAATACGAAGAAATACGAATAGATTACGATGTCATAAAGCGGTAAATTTTCTCACTACAGTTCCAATTCCTATAACAGAACATTTATTCATAAAATACTGTGAACTCAGTTCATTAAGCACTTTCGTATGAGAGACGCAATTTCCACTCCCATTTGAGTTTTCACCGACTTCGTTTTCAGGGACCTTGACCTCATTATTTGATCTAAATTTTAAGAGGTGACTGCCTGTTTTCTATGAGTACAGTTTTTTAAATGAGTCAAAAAATCCCTAAAAATTCCAGAGGAATCAAAATCAAAATACAAATAGATCAAACTGAAAATAATGACTCCATAAAGGCCTCCACCCACATTCGCAAAACCTATGAGAGCTATCATGTTTTTAAAACTGCAATGAATATTCATGGTCTGTGGCGAAAATTCTATGCCTTTCTGCCTTTTCTGAAATAATTACAACGGAGAGATTGTCACTTGAAAATGCAAAGTAGCTTTTACACAAGGAGCCTCCGCGGGCATTTACAAATAAATCCACTCTGAAAAAATCAGCCTTTGACGCAACAAAAACGGTCTCAAATGGCGAAACCGGATTTAAGGCTTTGCTGCCCTGAGCAGAGCATTCTCGCACCCTCGCCCTTTTCCACTCCGCTCCACCCCCACTCATTAAAACATTCCTTCCGGCAGGAACAGCCCGTTTCCTTCGAAAACTCAAACCACATGCCGTTTTATCAAAACATCAAGGTTCAAAAGCGGACCTCTTACGTGGAATAATGCAAAGTATCAAGAAAAAGTAGTCGATATTCTCTTTGAACTTATTTCCGCTAAAATGAGCCCGCGCAGTGAAATCTGACTTCCTCAAAATTAATTTCCGGAACCGTCAAACCTCCACTAACAAGACTTTGGAATCTTTTATCTTTCTATGATCGGATGTAGCTAAGCAAACGAGACCAGTTTACATCGAGACTTTTTAATTAGAGAGTTTGCATTGACAGGAAACTGCCATACCACGTAGCTGGTTTGCGGTGTTTAAAAATCTCCGCTCCCATTTTATATTTGTGAAAGAGAACGAAGCAATATCATTCCCAGAAGTTTTCACAGATGTTTCTTCACGCAAGTTTTCAAGAAATGAACGTTGAGTAGTTTTCCATCCAAAAAATGAGGAATGACAGGAAGTCTGCGACGCACAGTAGATCAAGTCAATTGGAGAGGTCGAATAATTTTGGACTAAAACTGCAAATTTTGGTGTTTATTTCCTCACATGTAAAATTTCAAGACGTGCGTTTGGAAGAAAATTTCACGAGGGGACCAATGGCTCCACTTTTAGAACCTCAAAATTTTGTAGAAACGGAGGTATGAGCTTTCAAAGCTTTCAAAGTTTTCAAAGTTTGTCCGACCTCTCCTATTGACTCAATCCACTGTGCGACGTCACAAACCGAGATATATGGTCTAGTTGTTTCACCGTCGATGTTTGTTTTTATCACTCGCGGGGAAACGGTCCGTTTTGGTAAAATTTACAGCACAGAAATTTTTACTGAGTCAGGTTGAAAAATTGGATTTTGAAATATAGCGATGAGAAGAAGAGGATTTTTTCGACAAAGCTATAAAACCTGACGAAGGAAAAGTATTGTTATGCCACCAAAAAAGTTTGAATCTGCTATGTCCAGAGCACAAAATGACACGGCGTTGATTACAATCCCCAAATACAACTATTCGCACTCTATGGATACTCGTGCTTTCTATACGGGAAAAATGAAGGCGTTTTTGTTTCCTTTGTTTCTTACTCCTCATGCACAGATATAAAGCAAATAAATTCGCTGGGTTGCCATTTTGTTAGAGGAATCCAAATTTAAAACCACGGCAACCCTGCTAATGTATTTGCTTCCTGTCCGTGAATGGGGAGTTTGACTAGATAAGGAGGTTGAGTCTTAACGTAGCGTGGGATAATCTCTTCGTTACGGTCCAAACGTTGATACCTTTTGAAAGAAAATCACTCAAAATATATAAAGCATGGCGTGTAAAATTGTTGATCACGCTCATTACTTGATTTTTTATGATTTTCAGGAGCTCATTCCCTAATAAGAAATGGAAGTTTTCTCCTTCTTTATGGACACTTTCTTAGGGAAAAACGATATAACTCTACGGAGTTCCAGATATCAATATCAATTTATTTTCTTATTTAAATTATCTGGTTAGTGAAAGATACACTCTATTATTTTGATGATTTGAAGGTCCGAGAGGTCAATAATGGCGGCTCAGGCGCAACATCATACACCTTAATAACATTATATACTTTACATTTTCTTGTCAGAACTTGTTTTTTAATACAAACAAACTCCATATACTTTAATATATGTTCAGCAAATGACTGTAGTAACAAAATAACCCGGAGAAAATTAAAATGGAGGCACAGGAAGAAATTAGTCTCTAAAAGTTAGAAGCAGAGATTCTCCGTTTCTGGAACAGAGTTGTCGATTTTCCCTAAATTGCCCTGATGAGGAATCTTCGATATTCTCGATATAAGAACTTTTTTAGAAAATCCTCCTTTAAAAATTATCCATATGCTAAATACAACCCCGGCTTGAGCACACTTTAATTATGCGCTTACGACTGCAAAAATAACAATGGATAACCGACAAGACCTACGACGGTAAAGGCTGCTTAATGTGAATCTTCCGTCGCGTTGGTCAGGCGCGATGATACAACTATTTGTACTCTCCGGAATGCGGAAGGTATAATGCCTCAATTGAAGGCGTTTTATAGTCTGCCAAGTTTCAATATTGGGATTGTCGTGTCGCAAATAGTTCTGAGCACAAGATCAAGGGAATGACTATGATCACAAGAGTGAATGTAATATTTCTGCACACAAATCCTTGTTTTAAATTTTAAATTTTGAATTACAGCTTTGGTTCCCGTTGGAAAGGAGGGAGTAATTTGCGCAAAACGTCTCAGTTAGTGTTTTCATTCTATTTCTGTTCTATTTACGCTTTATTTACACATTTTTATGGTATTTTTTCTTGTATCTTATTGTTGATTTGAGTTAAAATTTTTTCGTTTTAATTCTTATCCCGATTGTGTAATTTTAATCCTCCAATACAGTTACACATTTGCTGACTGTAATCCTAGCTTGAGGAATCCCGTATTTTTCCGGTCTAAACATTTTTAAAAAAATCCGTAAAGGAAAATTACCCATTTTCTAAATACAATCCTAGCTTGAGCACAATTTAACTTTTCGCTTACGACTGCAAAAATGACAATGGAAACCCGACAAGACCTACTGATTTAATGTTAATCTTCCGTCGCATTGGTCAGGCGCAATGATACAACTATTCGCACACTCCGGAATGCGTGAAGTATCACGCCGCAATTGAAGGCGTTTTTAGATCAGCCAAATATTAATATCAGGATCGTCCTGTCGTTCTGAATCAAGGAAATGACTGATCTCACGAGTGAATGCAACATTACTGTACATATCTCATTGTTTAAAATTTTTAATGATAGCATTTCTTAATGTTTTTTTTCTTTCTACTTAAGTTTCCTATCCACATTTTATAATGCAACTTCTTGTGTTTTATTGTTGATTGGAGTTCCTATTGTTTCGTTTTATTTCTTAAATTATGTCCTTTTTAATTCTTGCACCGATAAAAAATGTGAAGTTGATACAACATTCTGGATGTAAAGAAAGTGTGCGAGAACTTACGAAAAGCTAAATTATCCGCTACGGCAGTTAGTTTTACATCTTGACATTGCCAAAATTACTGCTGTGGAACTTAATTCAGCATTTTGTAAGCTCTCGCACACTTTTTGTACATCCAGAGTGTTAAATCAACTTTCCTTTTTTTTCAGTGTGTGTTAAAATTACAACTTTGCTAAATACAATTCACCCTTGAGTATACTTTCATTACGCGGTCACAACTCCACAAATGACCAAGGAAAACCGACAAGGCCAGAGTTAGGGCCACTTCAATGTCAATCTTCCGTCCCGTTGCTCAGGCGCAATGATACAACTATTTGTACTCTCCGGAATGCGTGAGGTATCACGCCACAATTGAAGGAGTTTTAAAACCAGCCATGTAAGCCAAGTATCAATATTGGGATTGTCGCGTTGCATAAAGTTCGGACCACAACGCACAAGATCAATGGAATGACTGAGCGTACTGACGAATACATATCTGCACACATCTGCCTATTTAAAATTTTTATTTGTGTCATTTGATCCAATTTTGAATGAGTGTTGAGCTACAGCGTTGTCAAGTTGAAAACAGGCAAAGTCCGGAAGTGGCATTAACATTGAGCTATGAAGTTGCGGTTTTAAAGAAAATTCTATAAAAATTGCGGTTTTTTAGGAAATGACCATGTTTTTAACGTCGCATTAATTTTAACATGCATTGTTGCCAATTTTTCGATTTTTAAATTCGACAAATTTTACAAATCCGCAAATACCCAAAAAAGCTATCTTCAAATTTAAATGAAAAGTTGTCTAATCGATAGTTCGTTTGATTCCGCATCCATCGATATATAATAGCTCGCAGGAAAACTTTTGGTTCGCGAGATATCATATTCATGTTGCCAAGATTAAACATAATACTTGCATTTTTGCTGATTTTGTCAATATTTGCCTTATATTCTTTGTTCACTTCTTATTTCTCCAAAATCCAAAAGTAGGGCAAAATCGCCGATTATGAATAACTCTCTTTACGCTTGTCACGCAAGAATTCCCGTGCTCATTTACATACCCACACAAGCGCACAGCGCCAGGCTGGCGTCATTTTCTTCCCCGCGCCTTTAGATACGAGTACTCCGTCTATACGTATGCATGTCTTTTGGGCTGAACTTGTGTCTGTGTCTGATGCAGGCAGATCTGAAAGAATTGCTCTGTCGACGAATGAGGAGGCGAACACAGAGGCTCAGCGCGAGGAGCCCGACTGCGACCCGCGTCACCATGTGTCCCATGCTCACGACCACGGTGCACAACGGTGAGTCGTCTGACAATGTGCTCAAGAAATCGCTTTTCCTGCCCTGCCTCTGCAAAGCACGTACGTACTGCTTTCGCTTTACCACACTTTCTTTCTTCTCCCTATTTCTCCACCTTCTTCTCCTCCTTGCTTTTCCTTTTTTATTACTCTATCTCTACCGCTTTTTATCTTTACTTATACTGCAGTGATAGCGGAGAGCAGTAAGTGTCAAATTTTCGAAATCAAGTTCCCTTCGAAATTCGTCTCGTATCTTTTAGCCGAAAGCACTGAAGTAAGCGAAATTCATGTTTATTGTATGAATACGAGACACGTGAGAAAGTAGTAAGGGCGCAAAAAATGACATATTTTTAGTCAAAACAGCCATACGTGACATTATTCCTCCAGAGAGCCAATGAAATCAGTGCTTTCAAGTAAAGTGCCGCCCTCTTCTGCCGATTTCTAACCTGAAAATGCGTTTGTTTTGTGTCCAAAACGCAACCACGAAAGCATGCAGAAGATAGCACCTACGGCCGTCTTGCCTAACACTAACCAAACATGACAGTTAAAAATACCCTTTTTATGTAATTTAAATGGAATCGGTCGATTTTTAATCATCCAAACGACGTCAAAGAGTCTTCCGGATGGTTAGTGGCAATTTGGCAAAGAACGGAAGCTTCCCTCAATAAAATTTTCTGGTCGGACGCTTTAGGAGACCGGTTTCTCAAAACTTCATTTTTGCACTTACTGCTCTCTTCGCTATCACGGCAGTGTATTGGGCAGTATTTTAACGTATATGGATGTGAAGTTTGGCAGCTGAAGAAACGGACACGTTGTAATATGCTTAGAACAAGATTTCTGGAGGAAGTCTGGAGGTAATGCTAGAAAAGATCGGGTTCATTATACTAGACCACGTCAGATCATGGAGGTTGGAAATGACATCGTATTTGTCCTCGTGACCAAATAGCTAGTCTGGTATGGTCATGTGAGCAGAATAACGATGGAGAGGCAGAGGTGGACCCAGCCATTTTGTAACACTGAATTTCCTCCGTTTAAACCTGTGCTAAATAATCGATCCTTGTCCGCCTGGCCTCTTGAAGAATCGATACATTCCCATAGGTTTAAATGGAGAAAAGACAATTTTGCCAATTTGCTGGATCTGCCAATGTGGATAGGTTACTAAAAATGATGTTTCATTGGGTTCCTCTTGGGGGGAAACAAAGATACTGTTTGAAGAGAGGGTGGTGAAACGAGTTTGAACAAAAAATGAGGGGGCTCCCCCTGCCAGAGGGGCGTGGGAGGATTGAGGTATGTGGTGATTAGACATGGGAGAACGCTGTAAAAGTAACTCCTGTGCATGCATACTCTTTCTCTCTTCTTATCCTTGTCGATTGTGTATAGATTTAAGTTTTTAATATTGTGTCAAAACGTATTAAACAAAGCTATGATGATTCAACCAATGAACCAACACATGGAGTATGATGGTAAAGCGAATTTTTTGTACTTCAATTTTCTCTCGAATTTCGTTGATTCGTCTATTTTTGACTCTAATGAGACAAAAAATCAACCGAACATTGGTATCCATTAGAAGTTACCTATTATTTTGAGAAGTATTCGATGGAAGAGAATTGCTCATCTCAGTATAATTTTAAACGCTGGACGAAGTGCGACTTTCCTTTAAATATTCCATCATTTTTGAACTTGCGTGCAACTTTACGTACATAGTAAAAAAATCATTAAAAATTCATCTCGAATCCGAAAATGTAATTTTAAGAAGGAATAACTTTACACAGAGCTGAAACCAGGGATTTAACTAGATAGATTAAACTTGTAAGAGAAACTTATGGTCACTCCGAGGGTCCTCTGATTGTCATCGACATAAATATGGGTTTCATGATTTCATGGCATGCATTATTTAAAGTGTTCCATTGGGCAGACTCCAACGAATAATGTATAGCATTAAACCGAACGAAAAAGACGCAGCCTTATGAACTTTTCATAGGAGGATGAGGCTTAATGTCAAAAAAATGGTCTAAGATGATTATAACAGGTAAAACATGTAAATAAATTGCAAAATAACACGTGTTGGATGATGAGTATGAAGAGGTAAAAATTTCCAAAAATCACAGACAATTGCCTCATTTTTCAAAAATTGTAAGATTCATAGAGCAGAGAGTTCTGGGAAGAAAAATCCCCTAAGATCGCAAAAAATATTTGTCTTAGGGCAAAACATAAGCAGCGTGGAATTATGAAGGAAGTATTATTATTTGGAAGTAAGAAGGCAAAATATAGATCCCGAATAATAGTAAATTTGATTGCCTCTTTATGGGTTGGGGGGATGCAGACCCCGCAGCTCACAATGATATTTTATAATGTCGAAATACCTCAGGTAAGTATTATCGTATAAACTGAATTTCAGCCTGCACAGTCGCTGGGCTTTACTTTCGTTACCTTAATCTGTGAGCACATCACTGAATATTCATTCACAATGGAGAATTTGTGCATTGAATAATGAAGCGGACACTATCGGAACGGGCTTCTCTCATTGGACAACTTGTAGACTTAAAATTGTAAATGGGAAATTTCCAACTGTTACCTGTCAAAGGTGGAGGGGAAGACTCGTTTAAAAATGGCGTGCTTAGAATCAAGCTTTATAATCAATTGACTTGTGAAACATCTTTAAATGGTATCATTGCACTTCAAGTCCTCTAAATCCTCTGCCCCCGTGATAATTTTTTCATACATGCATCTACAGATGTAAAGAATCAATCGCAACTCAAGATAAGCCCTGTGCTTTCACAACGTATAGCTTTATCTGAGGTTTTTAACTGTTACGAAAGACAGTGCTGATAACACAAATCACCTTTTGGGGGATGCGCCGATTATGGGTCGGGGTAACATCTAATTTTCCAGAAATTTTCGGGAAAATCTCTGGGTTGATAATTAGATTTTCCACAACGTTGTTTCAGGTAGTTCGAGTTCGACGGTGAAATGGAGCACTTCTGTGGAAGATCGCCTCTAAGATTTTGCAAACAGCACAAGTTTAGACCCGTTTTAAGACTTTTTGTGATTTTATTGCTTAGTTTTTTCGAGTATTCCTTATTCATATTAAATGAGACTAGTTTCATGTATTTTTTTACCCTTGACCTCATTTTATACAAATTAGTTTTTTCCAAACATTTTTCAATGCCCCCGTATCGAGCTCAAGAATATAATAAATGAGCCGCTAAACAAATTATAGATTTAAGCACCACTCTCCTATTTTCCATCTTTAAAAGTTCACGAAGGAAGAAATTCACGGAATGGGAAATGAAAATTTCATTTTGAGATGGATCTTTGGCGTTTACGAAGTGCATTCTATACGCACGATCGATATAGATTTCAATTATATACCATGAGAGAGATGATTTTAGATACGCGAAACGTCAATCTCAGGATCAATACTGTAGAGATGTTTTAAAAAACACAGTCGAATGCGCATTATTCAAACACAGATCGATTGCAACAGCTCGATTGTTCTCTGTATATTATTTAAATGGGTTAAATCCAGTCTCGCTCATTTTTGTGCGTTACCACTGATTTAAGAAGCATTAGCACTGAAATTCCCTACGGATGTTTTCAAGAGGAAATTGCATGATTCTAAGAGTATCTGATGTGAATTTCCCTTTTTATTTCGTGTATTAATACTTTGTTTCAATTATTAAACATTTTACCTCGGAAAAGCCATTTTTTTCTTTTTTATACAACACATCCTTAACCTTAGCTTGCTAGAGGGGCTTGCCCCCACGCTTGCTAAAACTGTGAGCCATTATTTTTCATTTGCTCGTGGAAAGCTGGGCTTCACAAATAGCATCACAAGAGCTCTGAAGAACTCAGTTTCAGGGAAGGGGGCGTAGTTGTGCAGTCATAGGAGGTTATTTTTCAAGGCTACCCCTAGAATGAAGAAACGGGGTCCGATAGACCCCGGCTTTGTTTCAGTAGGAATATTTGAATCTTACTGCAACGAATTTTGGTAGAATAGCTTGTTGTAGCTACTAGACAAAATGAATTTTTTAGTTATGCTAATGAAGGCAGGGTATGGACCACTAGACAAGGTACGTATTTAAGCATTCTAATTCATGTTCACTGACCAGAATTTCACGTAAAACACGATTCCCGCAACAAAAATTACTGAAATAAACTTCTAACGAAGATATTAACGTTTTAATTTCACATTAGTCACGAGGACTTTGAACTGCCCGCTCACAAGAAACTCAAAGCTGTACGTGAGTCAAATCGCGCACTACAACGGTTTCAGAAAGCTTCTCAATCCAGCAGTATTCATTTCCCACCATGTGTTGTTCAAACTATAAGCAACTTGTCATAGCTGAGCCACAGCGTCAAGATTGAGGTTGCCAGATTTTTTATCGCAGAGACTGTCATGATAACGCTTAGCGCGCGATGTGAGTCACGTAGAGCGTTGAGTTTTCTTGAGCGGGTTGTTTGAATTTACGCATCAAGAATCATTAAGTATCTTCGTAAGGAGTCGATTTCGGTAATTTTTGTTGTGCGCATTTTTACTTTACGTGAAATTTTCGTTAAGAAAAATGTATCAGAATGCTGAAATTCGTGCCTTGTCTAGTGGTCCATTGACAAGACTTAGTGCAAAAAAGTATTTTTCTTTACCTACGTATTAGGAAAGTGTAAGAAAATGGTGTCACTACCCATCGAAATTATCGAGATGATCATCTTTATTTGGCGAATATCTTTATTTATAAATTATTATTTTATTATATATTATATTGGAAATCTTAATTTATTTAATGCAAACTTAACAATGATTCTCAAAACCATCTTGTTTTCATTTCCACTACCAATGAGAGATAAGCAGCATAGGTGTAATAACTTTACTCAGATGCATGTCGGCTCTCAGTCGAACTCGACATCTCATCACGAATTCATAGAGCGGGGTGGAATAGGCGGGAGGCACTGTTTAGCGGCTGCAAAGCATCAGCGTCGAATTTCTCTCGTAAATGAATTCTCCTCACCTTCCGGCGTGATTAGTAAAGTACCTTTGAATGAGGTTGAAGCGGATGCGCCTACCTTTGCAGCGCCTTTCTGCCAACATATCCATCCATGAGGGCGAGGCTTCATCCATCTCCCGGAAGAGGCATGCATCTGCCAAATGCGCCACCGCAGTGCCTCCACAAAAGACCCGAGCAGCATCCAGGTCTATTTAACATGTGAGCCCCATCCTGCGTTGACGTTCTCATATCCACGCCTCTCCTCGCGCCTTCAAAGCCCAACACTACAATTTAAAGTTAGCCCAAGCTAAAGTAGCTGCGCTTCCGCTATGATTCACGCCTCAAAATTTCGAGTCGTATCCAAATGAACCGCGCTAGTAGAAAGGAACTAAGCCACATCTGCTTTTGTCAATTTAATTTTTTACAAGAGAGAGTTTGTGCAGATTCCGTGGAAAACTTTATAGGGTTTGCTTCGTACGATGCAGAAAATTCACCGATATTTGTGGAAAAATCCGCACAACCATTTTCAAGTAAAAAATTGAATTGCCCTGTAAAATTTGGCAATAGCTGAGTTGGTTTGATTCCTTTTTGCTTAGCGCGGCTCAAGTAACTTTTGAATCGAAAGCAAAACGAGTGAGGGCCGTAGTGGGTTAAAATACATCGACGGTAAGGCTGCAACCACGTATCTCGTTTCCGGTGTTTGAAAATCTCCGCTATTATTATTATATTTTTTTCAAAACGACATCATTCTTTGAAATTCTCAGAGAATTTTCTTTGTTTAGGAAGGAAAGTCACAGCAGTTATTAGGAATTGCCATTGAGTAGGTAGTTTTCTATTTAAAACATGAAGTATGATAGGAAGCCTACCACGCCGCAAACCAAGATACGTGCTTGCCGACTGACACCGTCGATACCCTGGTAAAAATTGGCGATAGGAGCTGCGTTTCAAAATACCATTGGAGTTCTTATAGCCGACTAAAGAAGGCTATTGAAAAGCATATAGCTGGCTGTAGAAAGCGGAGCAAATCATATAGCCGGGCTGTACGAAGCTATAAAAAAGTATACAGTCGGGCTATAGTTCCTATCGCCGGGCTTTACACATTATCGCCATTGGCTATAAAAGGCTATGAGAAATTGTGTAGAAATTCGTGTGCTTTGGAAATCATTAAGTTTGATACGGAACTACCTTAATATTTACAAAACACACATTACATTTTCCTTTAAAACATTTTTTTTTTCCATCAATTAAAAGGAGAATAATCCATACAGAGTGTGTAAACATTTCAAAATCATGAGTTGAAAAATGCTAACTCTGCGAGATTAAATATTGGAGCCTAACACAAAGCGGAGCGGCGACGCACTGACGCCTACAAACCTAAGGGGATACTCCACGCATTGCGCAATGCGTGAAGTATCCACTTAGGTTTGTAGGCGCCAATGCACGTATTGCGCTGGCCGCCCGTCGCCGCGCCGAAGCTTGACACGGCGTCTGAAGCAACTATTTCACACCAGAGGTATTGTACAGTATCATGAGAAATTGAAGGCGCTCCAACTTATTAAAAATGACATGCATTCTCCAAAAGTACAGAGTTTTCCTCGCAAAATAAATCAAGATATTACGGCACAAAAAGAGAGCGGTAGTCCAAAAACTAACTAAGTCCTAGTATCCGTATTCTGTAACGTTTATTAGCATAAACTTTATCTTATTCTTCTTTATCTTATTCTTATCTTTATCTTATTCTTATTCTTCTTTATTTCTGTACATTTTAAGGGACGGTTTGAAAATCTGGTGTCAATATCCACGTTCTAATAGCCTTATCTTAGATTTTCACCCATCATTCAAGACGGAAAAAAAAAAATATCCCAATTTCAGAGAGATTGGATGAGTGAATCCTCGAACAGTACTCCTACATCAGTGGCGCGGCGTGGTTTGCGATGTATCGATTGATATGCCATTTAAACCTATGGAAAAAGATCGATAAATCGGATCGCAACGAACACCTCAATAATAATCGATTCCTCACCATAGATTCAAATGAGGTAAATATAAATAATCGATTATTCACGCCTCGCCACTGCAATGCATCTGGAAGCAGGATGAAATAATTCGATCTGAAGGGAGAATGGGTCGGGGTTGAACCCTCTAGGTAAGCCACTCCAACCGACTTGGACTTAAACCTGGCAACAGATGATGAGGATGAGAAACGCTAACAGCTACATCCAGCTACTGAAATATTCCTTCCTGACAACCAACTCTCTATGAAGTGTTACTGTTTGTGCGGGCATAATCGAACAATATCAGGTATTTTTTCATATTCGAAACAAGAGTAAGAGCTTTTCAATGGGAGTGACGTCACACAAAAAGCAGAGATTCGCATTCGTGAAACTCGTACATTCACTCCAAGAGTCGTCGGAATTTACGTGATTTTTTTCCTCTGAGCTTTCGGCGTGGGTAGAGCACCATCCACACGTGTCGTTTTTATTTACGGAACGGTAATGGGCCGGGAGCAACTTTGTTCCTGAGTCCCTTTGAAATGAGACTCAACGCAAACGGGATATTTAATAACAAATGAGTTCCTGTTATTTTTCAGTTTTTCGAGGCGCTGCCTTGCTATTAAATGGGATGGATGAGATCCGAGCCAGTTTCCAACCGCGTTACGGAAAAACGTCGGATGAGTAATCGGCTGTTGCCGCATGTATGATATTCCGTTAAAATTGGAGAAATTGCGGTTTTATAGTTTTTGCATTTATCAAAAATTTTAATCGCAATTAAATTGAACTTTTCTGAGATACTAAAGTTCGATAATTAAAAAATAAACGTGGCGGAGTTAGAGATATTGGCGGATCCAGCAAATTGGCAACATTGCTTTTTTCCGTTTAGGCTTAATGAAATGTATCGATTTTCGGAGGGGCTAAGTGCTTGGACAAGAATCGATTATTCAACACAGGTTCAAATGGTGGTGAGCCAGTGTTGCCAAATTGCTGAATCCGCTTCTGGTCAGAGACGATAGTTTTTAGAAAACCCGCATTGCACTCTCTCTTATTGTTTGAAAATTACTTTTGGAAATAAACTCTCATAAGTACTTAATCGTGACAGATGGCCAGAGGGTTGAGTAATGAGTTTGGCATACCTGAACTATTTTGTAAAAATTCAAATGGCAAAGTACTCACACGAACATTCATCAGGTATCATTATGAGTATTTCATGGGTCATGATTGAGTTGCGGTCAACAATCATTATTGGGCAAAAAATAAAGTTAACTTCCTGGCTTAACTTTTGCCTTACCTGATTACATCAAGCAGATTGCTAGTGCGCGTCATCTATGTTATATTGTTTCTGAAGTGAGTTAAACAAACTGCATTTTAAGACATGGAGGGTCCGATAATTATGTTGTACATAGTAGTTGAGATGGGCAAATTGTGCATTATCTGACTTAAAAAATGCCCAGTCATAAAAAAATTGACATTCGGCAGCCAATCAAATTTTTATGGCAAAATATGAGGAGGTAAAAAACCGCTGTGAAAATTTAAAGGCGCTATTTGCCAGTCTTGGGAACAATTGACCTCAAACGTCTATAAAAAATTAACAATGCAAATCACGGCGTAAGTCTGACCCGATAATCTTGAGAGTTTGAAAAGGGTTTCTAGCACTGAAAAATAAAAATCGTAATTTTGGGCCCAAACCACTGTTTTGCTGCATTCAACAATTTGAGTCTCGAACTGATGGCAAATTTTACCTGACTTACAATTAGTTATACATACTTCATTGTAGGAAATTTGGCAAAACTCGAATGTTTACAGGGTATTTTTCTACGGCGTGCCAGAGTTGCAGCACAGCCACCGTTTCGGTCGACTTGCAATTAACAAGTCTCCGGCGTATGGAAACTACAGTAAAAATGAAACAGGTGTTTCAGGGAATAAGAACTGCGGTACTTCATTAATTTTATCCCGCGTTTGCATCATAAGTAGAAATTCAATATTCAGATAGAATTTTTTGCGGGAGGTTTCGGTTTATCGTGTTTTCTAAGAAATTGAGCTAGGGACTCACGGTAAAGAGCTTGAGATCACAAATGAATATGGATTTCGGCGTTTCATAATTTTTAGGTATATTACATATTTAAAAAGAAGACCAGTGAATATTTCATAAATTTACAATCAAATAATCTTGGCATGTCAGGAAACAATTATTTTAGACGGATTATGAAAATATATTGTGAATCTATCTTGCGCTGACGGCTGGATTTGAAATATCATAAATACAAAATTTCAAATAGTTTGATTCTTTTCTTGATTTTTTATTTAGGTGTATTTAGACATATTTTAAAAAAAAAAGTATTTGCAAGTGCAAGGTGGACAATGGCAAGGAGGATCATAAAATGAAGAATTTCACCCTGATCCGGCCTGCTTGTTGAACTAATATGTTTTGCACGCAATTGCCACAGATTTCATGTCTCATTTCGTATAACTATACAAAAAGTGCCGCCATGAAATCCAAAAAATGTTAGCAATTCAATTTGTTCAAAAAAAAAAGTTCGAAAAGTTTAACAACCCGCTGTTTCTCCCATTGAGTTTTTGAAGTTAAAAAGCGAACACATTTCAGAGCTTCATAGAATAGAACATACAGCTTTTCAGCCCTTTCGAACAATTTCTGACTATTTAAACCGTTGCAAAAATCACTCAAGCTTGGAACAAAATTAATCTGTATTTGATTCTCAGCTCTAGTAATTTTGTTAAGAGCTGAAAATAGTCAAAACTTGTTCTTAGGACCGAAACACATTTGTGAGTTATTTTCTATCAAGTTGTGAGATATATTTGCATTTTGAATTAAAAAAACCTACTTTGAAATCGTTGAGAGTGTATTAAAAGGCGCCTTAAAACAAGGCGCACATTCATATTAAGGCAGTATACTACTGTTACCCACAAATCATGCTCACAATGTTGAGACTTTTAATGCGGAATATTGTGTCTAAACTATCAATACACACGGCAGATTATGAATTTTCCAGGTTAACATTTTCTCGCCGAAATTTCGGAATGCATCCCCGCAACGGGTCATCAGACGGACTGTTTGGTTCTTAGTCTTCTCCACCAACCATCGGCGCACAGTGGATCGAGTCAATCAGAGAGGTCGGACATAATTTTTTTTCCTTTAACTGCAAATTTTGATGTTTATTTCGTCACATTTCAAGTAATAAGGGGTCTTTTAAGATGAAAATTTTGTAAGAAAACCAATGGAACTACTGTTGGAACTTCAAAATTGTATATAAACGGAGTTATAAGCTTTTAAAGTTTTCAAATTTTGTCCGACCTCTTCTATTGACTCGAGCCACTATGGCGGCGCGGCGAGAGGCCGCCGCCATTAAAATCCAACCAGTTTGAACCAAATCACATTTTATCAATGTTCTTCAGCATTTTCGTGTAAGTACTATCAAACTCATCCTCCTGCTCCGTCTTCTCAACCATGAACTTGGGCAAGGTCATCTTGAACCGGTTGTCGTACACAAGCTGAACATCATCATCACTTCGTGCCTCGTGGTGGCGGAGGTTGTTGCTGGAATTCTCCCCCAGAGGCTCTGTGTCCCCGCCCCCGACGCCGGGCTCCAGATTGTCCAAATCCTCATCCGCGTCGACCGGCGCGGGCGGTGGTTTCGTTGGATAGTCCAACATTCCGTAACTTAAACGGCTGGATGGCTTTTGAGTGGGAACACTATCCTCTCGGCCATTCGGCGATGTTGTATGCTGGGTATTATACCTATATCCCGTCGGACTCTCATCGCCCTTGAAGTCCGTCCGACTGACTGTCGACATAGCCGGAGACCCCTCGTGGTAAAAGCCGGGACTCGCAGCTTCGTGTTTGGCGTAAGTCGACTCTACATCCTCTTCAAAGTCCTCGACAGAGTCCATTCCCTCGTCATTCTGCCTGTAAACCGGGTTGTGGGCGGTGTTCGAGTTCAATATCTCGTCGAATTTGTCCGCCGCTTTGTGTCCCCGCAGCGGCGTCTTGACTTCCTTCGACTGGTGGTACTTGACCTCCTTGTTCTCCGGTTGAGACTTCTTCACGTACATACACTCCTCATGTTCTGACCCTTCGTCGTCGGTGCAATAGTAACATGTGGACCCATCCTTGATCTCTTTCTTACAGTGGGATCGGTCCTTGGCGGTGAAGTCTCCGAGGAGGCTGTCGTAGGAGTTCTTCTCCGGTTTGAGCCTCAACTGTGGTCGGTTATCAAACAGCGACGGTCTTTGTTTTTTGAACAGACCTCCTCCGGAGTTCAACGAAGACTTAGATGCGAATCCGGGAAGGAAATCGGACTCAGGTTTGATGGCAGCATCGAGGTCGGACGAGAATTCATTCGAAAAATGGTTGGACTTGCCGCCTCCTAAACCAGGAACTTTCACGTCCGGGAAGACGCTACTGGAAAAATCGTCATCCGAGCTCCCGCTTAGGGAATACGACTTCCCCAAGTCCGACTTGAAACCGTTGTTCCTTCCCAAGAGGTCGATCTTGCCTCGTCCGATGGACGGACCTTTGGGCAAAAGCCCCGAGTCGAACGGACTGTTCCTGAGATTGATGTCTTTCTTGACTCGGGAACGTCGGTACCTCTCCGAGGGCCTATTCTTCGAGCCGTAAGTCTCTTTGGTCGAATACTCGTAGGCGTTCTCTTTCGGGTCCGACTCGTAAGAGCACTGCTCGAACGTCCCGGCGGAATTGGCTTTCTCGCAAACGAGACAGTTGAGTCCGTTCTTGCGGACTTTCTTACACGAGCCGTCGTCCATCTCCCGGAGACTCTCTGCTGGGGGCAGATACTCATCAACATCCGAGCCAGCTTCTCCGTCCTCGTCCGAGAAGAAATCAAGGTCATCGTTCTCTATGTCCTCACCATGATGCTCGAAGTCGAAATCCACGGCATCGACCTCGTCCCGCCGGGGTGCTCTACGCCTCGTTTCACGCGGGTAGACCTCCATCTGAGGCATCCACCTCCTCACGATCACTTGCCGAGCCACGCGGACCTTGGCGTCATCTTTTTTCTCACTCGGGGTAGTCGATAGAACATCTTCGGGCTTTCCGAGCGTTTTGTTCACGCATTGCTCCGTCTTCTCGCCGTTCGCAAAATTGATACACGTGTAGCAGTAGGAAGCCTGCTTTGTCGCGTTCGAACTTTCGTTCCGCGCGGGCTCGACGGTTTTATTCTTGAGCGTGCAGTGCTTTATCGGACTGGATGGTCTGGCCATGGCAGCCATGATCGGCAGAGCGGGTAATAGCATCGGGGCTGCCTTCAGGATCTTCTTCGTCGATTTCTTTTCTTTTTTCTTGTCTTTGTCCGGTTTCCGCTTGGACGAGATCGACTTGGATTCCTTCGTCTCCGAATCTAAGGCTTTGATCGTCGGTTGGACGTTCGTGTAGTCAGCGTCCGGCTCTCCTTCTCCTTCGTCGTAGTATTCGTCTTTGTCCTTCTTCTCGCCGTCTTCGTCCTCGTCGTCCCCGTCTCCGAAATCGTAATCGTCTTCATCCGAGGGTTTCTTCTTCTTCTGCGGCGTGAAGTAAGGGTAGTAGCCAGTCGGAGGTGGACTCTTCTCATCGTCGTAATAATCAGCCTCTGGTTCTTCTGCACTATGTATGACGTAATCGGACGGGTATTGCCCGATACCTATGAAATCCGACGGATCGCCGTACTGGGGATATTCCTCCGGGTCCTCGTTCACTTGTGGGGCACCGTGTTTTGATCTCGTTGTTGGGGTGTAAGGGTGAGCGCTGTAGACTCGTTGCTTCAGGGAGGGGTATTCAAAGTTGTTGAACGATTCACTTCCGCTCAACGGGTAGTTTGCTTGCGTTTTGGGGATGTGGTATTTCTCGATGCCGAAGGAGCTAGTCGCACGACTGGGGGCCGGTGTTAGGTAGCCGTCCTCGTTGTATGTCTTCTGGAGGGCCTCGTAAGAAGGGACCTCGTTGTGGGAGGGGATGTCTTTGATGTCTGGATAATCGTCATCGCTGGAGGGGTATTCTATGTCGGAGTTCGTGTCTTTCTTGTGGCTCCGGTCCATTTTATCACCAAAAGCGAGCTTTCCGGAGGTTTTCGCTTTTGATTGAAGGCGTTTGGTCTCCTCATCGATAGCTCTTTGGAGCTTGAGAAACTCAGAGGAGGACGCTGCCACGTTTGCGTCGGAAGTTTCTTCAGTTCGATTTTGTTTGACACCCGCACTGTTGAGAGCTTGCACTTTCGGAAAATCGGAAGATGAATCTGCTGCGGCTTGTAAATCGACAGGGTTCGGCTCGCTGGACGGACTTTTCTGGGTTTCGTTTTCGACAAAATTGTCGATTTGCAAGACATCTAATGTTACGTTTGCCTCTGGCTGAGTGCCGGCAAAAGTATCCTCTTCATCGGTTCTGTTTTGTTTCTCCTGGGTGCTAACCGCGGCTACGCTACTCGATGAATCGTTTTGATCAGCATTTTCTTCGATGGCTCTGTGCAACTTTAGTTCAATGACGGATGATTCTTTCGGGTCTGGGTCTTTAAGATTCAACAGGTCACTAGAATTTTGGAAAGTTGCATTTGATGGCACAAGTGAGCTTTGGTTTAATTCATGGGTTGAGTTCGATGAAAGGTCGACATAGTCGTCATGAATGGACTCTGATGGCGCTAGTTCCCTGTTTACTTCTTGAGACAAGAAGTCCCGGAACCGTTTGAGGAACGGACTCTTCTTGAAGGAGTCGGAGCCTTCTTGCTGTTCTCCTAGAAATCCTGCCTTTTGGAAGAAATTCATGTATGAAACAGTGTTGCCGAAGTTGTCGTAAGTAGCTTGGGAGGGATCCGTGGCTTCTCGAGGTTGAAGCCTGCCTTCTGTCCTTCCGTTGTCCTCCTCTTTGGCATCATTTGGTTGAAGCCTGCCTTCTGTTCTTCCACTGTCCTCCTCTTTGGCATCATTTGGTTTCTGATCTTCAATGGAAATATCTGCGTTTGGAGGGACTGATGTGCTGCCTAACACAAAGTGTATTAGTACCACCTGCAACAGAAAAATAAAATTTCACGTCGAATTTTTTTAATGAACATCTGTGTGTTTGTTCAAATTTGCGTCGAGATTATGTATTACGCTCTTTTTCCGAAATTACCTACACTGAAAAAAAAAGTTCGGTAAATCCGAACTAGTTAGGATCATATGGAATCACGATTTTGTTCGATACACACGACCGAATTATTCGGTCTGCTCAGCCGAACTGTTCGGTCCACTGAACCGAACTGTAAGAATTTATTATGGTTCGGTCGCACAAACCGAACAATTCGGTTGAACAGACCAAGTAATTCGGTTGTGTGCACCGAACAAAACCTGGTTCCATATGATCCTAACTAGTTCGGATTTACGAAACTTTTTTTTTCAGTGTACTGCAGAAAGAAGGACTATAGGGTGATAGGAAACTTTTCTCATTGATTTTATTTATTTATGTATTCATTTATTTGAAACTGAGGATATAGTGACTCTATTCCGAAATGTAAAAATGTCGGATGTGAATCATTCATAGAATTGCTAATTTCAGCCAACGAAAAGTAAAGAGGGAGGAATGGAATGGAATTTTTTGTTGATTTAAATTACGCTTAAACTGGCAGAACTCACATTATCTAATCCAACTATTCGAAAGTTCTGTAACCTTTTTAATCTTTTAATATCGTTATAAAATGATGCAAGCGCTTAGTGCAGAGAATTTTTACTCATATAGTTTGAATTTAAAAGAATATGAAGCAACACACTGCAAATGTTCATGAGAGCGTAAAAAATCTTCCAAACTGGCTCCAATGTAGGGCAAACACTTCAGACAAGAGCTGAAAAGTTACGATGGATTCTCTCAGAAACTTTCCGCTCTTATTGAATTCTTCAGTTTAAGTTGGAAGTAACAGGGGTGGAATAGCGTAACGCTCAGTGTGAGATTGTTTGAGTCCGCTAAACGAAGAATATAAAGCTAAAAATTGGAAACGAAACTTCATTAGCCTTGCAATTTATTCCTTGATCATCTCCCGCCTACATGCATAACCATGTTGCCTCTTTTTTAACTTTTCCGAGAGAAAAGCAAATTTAAAAGACGCAATGTAAAAAACAACCGTATTGCAAGGTCTCAATTTTTCGAAAATGTTATAAACTCACACCGCGTCCGGATGGATTCCGCTTAATAAAGGTCTTCTGTGAATAAATGGCACCTTCATAGTCGAGAAAATCAAAATTTAGATTTTTCTCTACCTTAGGAGTGTATTGCCAGTAAAAATTTTGGTCAAAAATTTATCCAACAATTGAAATTAAAATAGACTCATGACTGTAAGTTTGAAGGTCAAAAGACGTAAACCAAGAAAAAAGTATCAAAATTGGAATCGGCCTCCTTCCTCGAGGCTACATTTTTCGAAGTAAAATGGGACTCAAAATCTTTTTCTTGGCAACAAATTAAACGAGCCGCTGGCAACCTGATTTTTGGATTAGATTGTCTTTTTTCAACCGAAAGTTCCAAATCTTATTTTTCTCGGAAACGAACGAATAAAACTATTAATTTTAAACTACCCTGGTAAAAATTGGCAGTAGAATCTGTGTTCCAAAATACCATAGACCTAAAGCCGGCTGTAAGATTTTCAAAAGCTTCTGTAGCCGGCTGTACAATTTCTTATAGCCTTTTATAGCCGATGGCGATTAAGCAACAGGCAGACGATAATGTTTATGCTAAACGTTACAAAATACGGACACTAGGACTTAGTTAGTTTTTGGACTACCGCTCTCTTTTTGTGTCGTAGTATCTTGATTTATTTTTCAAGGAAAGCTCCGTACTTTTGAAGGATGCCTGTCATTCTTAATATGTTGGAGCGCCTTCAATTTCTAATGATACTGTGCAATACCTCTGGTGTGAAATAGTTGCTTCAGATGCCGTGGCACGCTGCGGCGCGGCGGGCGGGCAGAGAGTGCGAAAAGCGCATTGGCGCCTACAAACCTAACAGGGATACTTCACGCATTGCGCAATGCGTGAAGTATCCCGGTTAGGTTTTTAGGCGCCTGTGCGTCGCCGCTCCGCTTTGTGTTAGGCTCCATTATTTAATCTCGGCGGAGTCAGCGTTTTTCAACTCATGATTTTGAAATGTTTGCACACTCTGTATGGATTATTCTCATTTTAATTGATGAAAAAAAAATATGTTTTGAAGGAAAAAATAGTGTGTGTTTTGTAAATATTAAGGTAGTTCCGTATCAAACTCAATGATTTCCAAAGCACACGAATTTCTACGCAATTTCTTATAGCCTTTCATAGCCAATGGCGATAAAGTGTAAAGCCCGGCGATAGGAACTATAGCCCGACGATATACTTTTTTATAGCTTCGTATAGCCCGGCTATATGATTTGCTCCGCTTTCTACAGCCATGCTATATGATTTTCTATAGCCTTCTTTAGTCGGCTATAAGAACTCTTATGGTATTTTGAAACGCAGCTCCTATCGCCAATTTTTACCAGGGTATGTTTCCATAGATTGTGGCTCATTTACAATGGGCGGTCTGTAATATGCAATGACTACCAGAATTACATGTTTTCACAAGGTATCTGGAAATATCATCAAATACATCCAAACTTCCAAAAAATGCTGAGACTCTGTTCTTAATCGGAAATTTTGCACTAGAAATATGGATTCATCTCGACATGAAAAATCATTTCCTGCACAAATTTTGCTGTGTAGAGGGAAATATTCGTTGCGGTGAAGAAGGATTTTGTTGAGTCTTAATGCAAGATGTGCAAATGAAAGTTTCCGTGTTGAAATAGATACATTTTTAGTCGTGACAACGGAGAAAAATATCATTGTGACATGGAAACTTCCATTACTTCCAGGAAATTGTCGTTGCCAAAGAAGAATAACATTTGGATCAAACATTTTTTTTTCTTGCCGCAAAAACATTTCTCTCTGAATAAATAATGCTATTGCTTAGAAATTGGAGTCCTGAATAGGACAAACCTTTACCAAGCAACAGTATCAGCCAGAGCGTAGAGAAAATACTAGGGGTCGATTCTTGAAATGTCATCAAAGGGGCTTGATTGATATATGCCATCGTCAGATAGGGTTCAAATAGACCGCGTTTAGCAAAAAGGAACCGAGCCACGTCAGCTATTGCCAAATTTAATTTTTACAAGAAAACTTTCGCGCAAATTCCTTTGAAAATTTTAAGAAATTTGCTTCGTACCATGAAGAAAATTCACTGACATCTTTAAAAAAATCCACACAACCGTTTTTATGTAAAACATTATAAATTGCCCTTTTAAATTTGGCAATTACTTATGTGGCTTGATTCCTTTCTGTTTAACGCGGTCCAAATATAGGCCTTAATCGATTCATCAATAGACCCACGGAGTGTGTTTTAGTGGCTTTTCCCGTCCTCCAGAACTGAGTGAAGGTGACAATAAGTATCAGTCACCGTTCAGTTAGCAATCTGTCACCTCTGTGGGTGTCTGCGGTACCATTTCTCGCGTGGCTAAGTGGTTGAGATTTTTGCTGCATGCTTGAGTGCATACTCTAGGAGATTGAAAGCTAGTTTGTCAAAATAGGCAAAAAATGGTTCAAAATTCTGCAACAACAGGTTATCCAAAAAGTGTGAAAAACGATCTTCCACTATGACCTATGTAATATGCCTTAAAGGCTGCAAGGACACATGCTTTCTTCGAAAAATCATTCATAAATCACGATGATCATGTTGGCAAGCGTTTATTATTCCTCAGTGCCCGACAAGAATGCGTAGAAAATTTTCATGTTTTCATTTTCGGGCCTCTTGTTTCTAATAGTGCTGCCTCGGAGTCTTGCCGGAAACGCGTAACGCGATACGGTTGTGAATCTTTCACATTTCAATTTTTTTTTTCATTTTAAATCTTCTTTAAATGATATTCTTTCATTTTATCATCTTGAAAATCTAGATTTACTTACTAAACGATTCAGTACAATTTGAATCATTTGTGAAAAATATTTATGACTCGAATTGAAATTTTTGGAATTTTTCGGCTCTGGTTTCCCCGCGAAATGGTGTGGACCCACCACCATTCTACAACCTTTTTCTGGTGGCGCACCTCTCTCATGTCATACGATTAAAGATGTCTACGAACGTGAAGAATTCTAAATGTGCACAATGGACAATGGTAAATGTTCTTTATCACTGAAAAAACAAGTTCGGTTGTATGTGCCAAAGTCCGGTATTCAATATCATCCAAACTCATTCAGTTTGTCAAACTGAATTTTCGGTTTGTGTAACCGATCTTCTGCGGTAAAGTGAACGGACGAACTAAGTTTGGTCATGTATGCCAAACTTTTGGAATACACGAACCGAGAGTTCAGTTTGACAAACCAAATATTTGGGATGATAGAGAACACCAAACGCTTGGTTCATTTAACCGATTTTTTTATTTTCAGTGATATATTAGAGCCACATCTAGGATGCTCTATAACATGTTTTTCATGCGATTCCACCTTAAAAAGTGAATTGAGATACTCGAATACTGAGCGGAGCTATTAAATTGTATATCAGACGATGAGGTGAGGCAACGATGAGAAAATTCGTCGGGCGACGCGGTGGCGGAGGAAAAATAATTGTCCACGATTTGACGGTTCATTGAGCGTGCGCAGCCGGAGCCGCACCGGGATCACTTCTCGATGTCTGACGTCACAGTGTTTGACCAACCACCCACATCGATTATCCAGGTGTCGACGCGTGTCTCTGTTTTTGTTTAGAGCATCTACAGGGTGTCCCGAAATTAACGTACTTAACTTCGGGATGGATGTTTCGGCTCTAAGTATGGCTTTTTTTTCCTATACACATAATGCTCAAAAACGCTGAATGAGTGAGCTTTACGCTTTCAAAGTTGCCATATTATTTAGCATTCTGTTCATTTTTTTGTGTTTTGAAGGACGTGCGTCTTTGGAATATGACGTTACGAGCGTTCCAGAATTTTAAAATTGCGATAACTTTTATGGTGAATGATATTTGGAAAAATGGATGCTGGCAGAAGAA